GGTGACAGTGATAGAGGGAGATGGTGTGGGCACTGAAGGCTCCGGGGGAGGAGGATCGGAGCGTGGTGTCGTCGTGGTACCTATGAAAGGTACACGATACGTCTGTCCACACTTCGTTTTGAGAACGAGAGTGTTGGTCGCCCAATCGGCCTCGGTGCTGTGGAACCGACGAGACCACGGAGTGCCGAGAATGAAGTCATACCCCGTCTCCATCACATCGAAATGTGCGGAGGAGCGGTGGCGACGAAACGCCGGGGAACGCTCAGTCGGTTCGAGAGTGAGGAAGAAGTCGAGGTCGGTGACCGTCTGATCGAAGAAGCGCTGGGTCTTGTCATCCCCTAGGGTAACGGAGATGGGAGTCGGAGACCCTGTCGTGGGTAAGCGGGCTTCCTTCACCACGCGTGGGTGAATGAAGTCGCCCTGAGAACCGGAATCCCACAGCGCTGAGTACACCCTTGTGGAGGTCCCGAATCGTACGGGGATGATCGGGAGGGTGCGATCAGGGTCAGAGAGGATGGCGAGAAGGCGACGCAGTGCAGCGAGATGGAGGGTGAGTCGCTCCTGACGAGCCTGGAGCATGCTCAAGTCCAGAAGAGARGACACAACGTCCTCGCGAGAAGTAAGCTGCTCCCTGCAACGGGCTGAGCGAATGGCTCGACGCGTCGGTAGTCGCGGCGGGGAAGGAAAGGAGGCGGTGGTCTGCGGAGGCGCAGACGGTACTGCGACAGAGGGCGGCGTACACTCTGTCGAGTCCTGCGATACCTCAACTCCAGTAGCGAGAGGGGCGAACCGCGACGGAGATGTCGGGAAGCCCACTACTGAGGAGGGCGCAGGTGTACACTGCACCGTGGCGAGGAGGCGCCTCGGGGACGTGAGGCGCCGGGGGAGGACTGAGCACGACGCTGACGAGAAAGGTCAGCGTAGTGGCAGTCGAGGGCGGTAGTGTAAGGGCACCGCGAGGAGGTATGACCGTCCAAGCGGCAGCGCAAACACCCACGCCGGGCCAGAATAGCCGCGCGCTCCTCAGGGGAAAGGACACCACGAGGAGGGACGAAGCCCTGAGGGAGGTCCTCCTGAGGGACCTCGGGGGGGCGATGCGCCAGCGTGACCGGGCCGGCTGCGTGCCCGAGAGAGGGCAGAGAACGCGAGCTGAAGGCGCTCAGCTGCAGGGAGGGTAGAGTCCTCCAAGTGATAGTGGACGGCCTCGCAGAGATCGAGGTCGTCGCTGTGGTCGCCCTCAAATGACAGTGGGGCAACAGCGTCCTGCTCACCATACTCCAGCGTACTGAAGCGGCGCGAGAAGTGGCGGCCCTGCTGCGTGGAACGGCGGGGGCGACCGCGGAAAGGGGAAAGGCGCTGGGGAGTGCCGTGAGAGGAGGAGGAGGCGTAGCCCGTGCGCTGGGGCTGGGAGGAGGAGGCGGGGTGAAG